ACCTTTTGGAGTCATGCTGTGAGAGCTGAGGCAGAAACACATGCAAGAGGGACCAGAACATCTTTATCTCAAGATGGGTGTGCGACCTGCAGATTATCAGAGTATCTGTGTCGTCTTGCGGATAATTAGAGGAATGATTATCTCTGAGAAAGTAAAAGCAAAGTGTGAAAATCTGATCCCAGCTGGCTGGTAACACTAGAGATGTTTATTTCTGTCCATGGTGCTGTGCGCGTGTGAGTGAGACCAGTGGGCCGGGGGGTGGTAAGATGAGGAGAATGGAAAGTGTTTTGTGGTCAGATGCAGGCGTGTGTGTGTTTCTGTGTGTGTGCACATCTAAATAAAGTTGCCGCTGATCCCACAGGCACCCCAATCGCTCCAGCTGTGACGGTGGTAAATAGACATGGGATCTAAGTGTTTGCTGTGGCAACATGTGAGAGCAGCGTGGAGGCTGAGCTCAGCGGGAAGCCTCCCCGTCACTCTGATCCGCTCTGACATCAAACACGCGCATACGCACATGTGACGCTGCACAAAAGAAACACACACACACAGAGAAATACAAACACACATCCTCCGTACAGTGGCGGCATCTCTTCTCATCCCAATAATATTATCTTACTGAGTGCTGAATGGCTCCCTCCATGACAGTGAGTCGCTGAGAAAAATTGCACGCAGACGGATGGGTGGGGGAGAAGAGGGGAGGGGGCCACAGCAGACTTCACTGCTCTGGTTTAGTCACGACTCCTCTGCCCAACAGATGAGCATGAGCAACAGGGCGAGCGTGTGTGTGTGTGTGTGTGCGCGCATCTCCATGGAGCTGGCCCCCTGCCCCTCCTCTCCACCGCTTCATCGCTCAGACTCCAGCATACCACAGACCTGGTTGCCAAGGTAACCTCTTGTGTTGATGGGTTCACCTCTGTGTTAATCACCGGCTAGCAATAATGACCAAAGGATGCATGGTGTGTGTGTGTGTGTGTGTCCTTGTAAGGTCGAGTTTAAGGCTTAGGTTAGAGCCACAATAAGAGCTTGGATTATTCATTTAGCTGTGATGGTTAAAGAAAGGAACCACTGTCCTCACAAAGGTAGTACAAATACGTGTGCGAGTGAGCCTCTCCGCAACATACAGATGTGAGAGACATCTTTTTCCCTTTTCCCTGAATAGCAGCAAAGTTAAAAATCAATAAGACAGCAGCAAAGGAGAAGCTCTGAAACCAATCGATCGATTTTCTCTGCAGAGTTTGTGTTTTCTGTTTCCATATCCACAACAAAAGAAATGTAGTCTAGTTTTTCTGCCTTAAAAAAACAACTATATTCAAATGTCTCTACTGCAAACATGCAGATCATTAAACTTGGTATATTATGGACGATTAATTAACATTAACGCAATTTGTCAGCTGGGATGGGCTCCAGACGCCTGGAGAGATAAGTGGTTGAGGCAACAGGTGGATAATTTCCTCTGTGTTATGTATAAAATCCAGCTCAGCCTGATGCAGATTAGCAGTGAAAAAAAAAACAGCTAAACTAAACTAAAAATCTCTAAACTTAAGTGCAGCGTTCAGATCCTTGCACTTGTCCTTCAGTCATTTTTTTGTCACTTTAAGCTTTTATTTGATCTCAGATGGAAAATTGTTCTTTTTAAATCCTCTGTGTTTATCCTGTGATTGAGAATATTACATGTATTATTATATTACTTATGTTGAATATGTTGAAGCTAGGCAACAATATATAAAGTGATAAAGACCAGTAATATCTCTACAACAAATGTACACGTTAATGCAAATGTTATAAGTGTGTTATTATGCCTAATACTAGTACTTATAATTACATATTTATGCTGGTAGTTTTTGTACTTTTACCTGTAGTAACATGGAAAAGAAGGTTTTCATGTGGATCTTACATTGTTGTTGTGGAATCTTGGCTCTTTCTTTTACAATATCAGTTCAGCTGAGTTGAGTTTGCATGCATTTGTTTATGCACAGCTCTCTTAAAGTCCCACCACAGCATTTCAGACGTAGTGCGATCAGGATTTTTACTGGACCATTGCACCATTTTGATTCTTTTCTTTTTTCAGCAATTTTGTTGTAGATTTTCTGCAGTGCTTGGAATCATCGTCCTATTGCACAACCCAAGTTTTAGATGTCAAATTGATGACCTCACATTTGACTCTAGAATATTTTGGTACACAGAGGCGTTCGTGGTGGACTCAGTGACTTCAAGGTTTCCGGGTCCTGTGGCAGCAAAATAAACCCAAATCATTGCCCCTCCCCCACCACACTTGGTAGTTGGTATGAGGTGTTTGTGCTGATATGCTGTGTTAGGTATTCTGTAATTGTGGCATTGCGGTCAAACATCCCTACTTTGGTCCAAACAACATTGTTCCAGAAGTCTTGTGCTTTGTTCAGATGCAAGTCTTCTTTTTTAGAGAGAAGAGGATAAATATACAGTTAAATTCACATAGCGAATAGAATAGAATAGGATAGCCCTTTATCATTGTACATGTACAAATGAATGAAATTATGGAATTTATTTTCTTTTTCCAAAGTGCCAAAATGTCTGCTCTTACAGAGGTGCTCACACTTGTTAATGAAGTGCATTTTCACCACCCTACATCACATCTGCTGTATAAAAATCTAACACCTCAACACTGCTAATTTGGGGTAGCTGACTTAAAAAAATAGCAACGCATTTTGCTCGCTCACATTGTGTTTTTTTTGGCAATTGTAAACATGATCAAGATGGGTTCTTTTTTTCTGGAATATCCGTGGATGCTTTATCACATCAAAACAGCCAAAACAACCAACAACCAAGGCAAGCAAGCCACAGGCACCTCATTTGGTTTGCCAGGAGCGTGTCAAAAACCTTGAAACACTGAGTAAGAGAAGGAGAAAAGAGCCAAATCACTTTGATGACAGCTACTTCTGTTTAGTTAATATTCTGGATACACACATGCACGCAGCAAAACAGAGAACAGAGGAGAGCAACACAACAACAGGAGAGACTCACACCAGACTGAAAGTCAACACAGACAACACAAGCAGCAAAGATTCATATGTTGTGTAGCACAATGAATGCTATATTTTCATATTGCATTGTAAATCACCAATTAGTGGCAACAGTTGCTAATGTTAGATAAACCTTTTTTGAGATCACCTACTCTGACAAGTTAAAATAAAATCAGTTTCTGAGATTTTCATGTATGAAACCATTTGAATCTGTGCATCCTGAGTGCATCCTGAGACTGTCATCTATTAATCTGTCAGTCCAGCTTACTTACATACTGTATAGATGTTACATAAAAAATATTTTAGGGTATGACTGTGCGAATTTCTCTGTTTGAATATATTTATTACCAGTATATAAGCTGAAATTCAGCTATGTTTTACCTTTGTGAGGAGTCTGAAATGAGCACAGAGCAGCAGGCACAGTCTGCCTGTGAAGACAGTATGTGGGTGGATTGAGAAATGCTGCATCTCTGCACACATGCAGAGCGTTGACACTGACATCTGCTCCATCTGCTGCCCCTGCCACTTCAGCACAGACTTTACAGTGACGGAGAGAGGAGTGAGACACGTGCTGGGCGAAACAGGTGAGGAGTCTGTTCAGCTTCACTGCCAATGGAAGACTGGGGAAAAATACCTGCTCAATTCGGCTTGAAAGGGGCTAATTAACTTGATCATTTCTTACTTCAGCACACTTGATGAATCAGACTTGTTGCAGACTTTTCCTGAAAAACGTCATCTGCTTGTGTTGTCTTCGTACACCTCCATCTTTGTAAGCCACAAGTAATCCAAAGCCAGTGACAGACTGGTGCACACATCACTGAAAATGAGCTAAAGCTGTTGGAACAAATGTAACACCTCTGCCACCTCAACCTGACACAAATCACATCCCTACAGTTCAAAAAGCTGAACTAAACCAGAAGGAAGAGCTTGTGCAAAGGATAAAGCGGCAACAGCACCGTTTACATATTAAATTAATGAGCAACATTTATTCAGATGATGATTGGGTAGAGCTTGAAAAAAAAAAAAAAAAAGATTCTGGAATAATCCAGAATGTAAAAGCCAAAAATTAGCCAAACTGTCAATATTAACACATTTTAAGTGTAAATGATATTTTACTATTAATGAAGACATATCTAGTACCTTTTCCAGATAAGAATTTCCAGCAGACCAATTTCTTTATGTAGTGAATTTTAAAGGCCAGTATATAGCTGCCTGTTTCATACTATTCATTAATTTTTTCTCCTGTTCTCAGATAATAAATTTCTCAGCGTGTCACATATGAGACCAGCTTGGCTATGTAAGATATATTCACCAGCCGCTTTGTAAGGTACACCTGTTCAAGAGCTTGTTACTGCAAAAGTTTAATTGTCCAATCACACGGCAGCAAATGAGTGCATTTAGGCACGTCGCCATGGTTAAGACGATCCATTGAAGTACAAACAAGAATGAAGGAAGTGTCTGAGTGTTTCAGAAACTGCTGATCTACTTGGATTGTTCAACACAACCATTTCTAGTGTTTATAGAGAACGATCTGAAAAAGAGAACATTTCCACTGGTTGAAAATACCTTGTTGATGCCAAAGGTCAGAGGAGAATGGCTTTGGGCTAACAGAAAGGCAACAGTAACTCGACCATTCAAACAACCATTGCCCAAGCCACAATTGGTGCTGGAACTTGAATGGTAGGGTCAGAACTTTGCATAAATGACATGAAAACATGGATCCATCCTGCCTTGTATCAGTAATTCTGGCTGTGCAGTTACTTGAAGAACTACAAAAGTCGCATTGTCTCAAGAAAATCACCTATATCCTTCAAGACCCATCATGCCTCAAATCATCTCAAATTGGTTTTCTGGACTTAGTTCATTGTACTCAAATGGTCTCCACAGTCACCAGATCTCAATACAATATACAGCCTTACTTTAAAAGTCACAAAATTCAGCATTTAATTATGTGCCTAAATCGCAGACAGAATGAGCACCAGTTTCCACTCTGCGGAGAAAAAAAAAAAAAAAAAGAGTTGAAGCTTTAGACGGAAAATAAAAGGCAAAGAGGAAAGATCAAAGTCTAGTTTTTCGAGGCTGGGTGGAACACATTCTCCAGTAAAGACACAAAGTTGACATGAGAAAAACTGTATTGAACGAAATAAGCAATTTCACTCTGCTGCCTCTTGTTTTGTTTTGAAACCTTGATTTTAGAAGACTTGTGGAGGCGTAACAAGTTTTTTCTCCTTCACATCCTCTTAAATTTTCTGCATTTCAGTACAGACGCCTCTCCGCAGTCATCAAAGGTTGAATGTGCAGTTATAATCAGGCCGTTAGCCGAGGCTGATGCGGCGGTTGCTCTCTGCTCCGATAAGCCTGCCAGAGGCCGGCGGTCTCCTGCCTGTAATACATTCGTCACAGTTTCCCCAAGACACATGAGCGAGCCCCACACAAATGAAGACTGAAATATCTGCTTCCGTTTGTCTGCGTCAGAGAAGAGCATCGTTCACCCTTACTCAGCAGTATTCTGTCTCAATTTGAAGAATCTGCAATGAGGTGTGAATGCCTCTCAATAATATACTCGTCATTCCTCTGCCAAGGGAAAAGCAGAGGTATACTTTCAGTGCTTTTTGTCAGCAGGAAAGATCACAAAATCTAGAGCCAAAGATCATGTAACTGGGTAGAGAGATGGAACCCCAGCCTGAGGAAGAACCCATTAAATTCTGGCACAGACATACATGAACCAGTTTAAAGATATGACAAAGGACATTGTTCTTTCTATTTGTGTAACTGTTGAAAGAAATCTACAATAATGTATTTATTATATGAGAAATTCTAAAGTGAAATAAATTCTGATTAGCTTTTATTGAAGTTCCTGAAACTATTTGCAAAATTAAATCAATCTTGCATAGACTGACTCTGCACATTTCTGTGGTTTCTCTTCTTCGAGTTTGCCTCAAACTTATTTCAGCAGATCCAACTTAATTAAAAGGAAGATAATCATTTCAATTAGCAGTAATTTATATTTGGAGGTAAGGCTCTTTTTTGTGACCTACCAGTCTGTTTCGGTATAACCTTGTATGTGTAAGCATTTAAAAAAAAAAAAAAAGGAGGTAGTGACATGGATTTGGGTTGCCAAGCAGCTTGAAGATGCAACTGTAAGCAGGCTAAAGATATTATTCTGTGCCCCCCATGCCCTCCTGACACCCCAAGTTCTCATATGGGGACATTAAAATTTGATATTTCTGCACCTTATACTTCATTCTGCTTAACAAAGTCTTTTATACTTTGTCAAATAACGGCAGCTTTATTGTGTTTTACTTTAAACTAAACTGTCCCCATGTGAGGACAAACAATCCCCAAATAGCTAGGTGAAATAAAAAAATCAACCCCAAACAAAAGCTGTGGGATGGAGACTTGACTGATACACAGAAGTAATCGAGTAATCGAGTAATCGAGTGACTTTGATTTTATTGTCTGCATTAATTAAAACTACATCCAATCTAACAGCCATGACATCCTGAAGAGGATGCTGCTTATTATCATTTTAACCCTCAGTGCTGCAGTTATGTGGCTTGTGCCAGTTATACAATTTTCACCTCTGCAGCTTTCCAAAAAAATTACAATGAAATTATGTTTTCTTTTTATACTCTTTCCCCCATGAAAGCAGCATTTGATGACTTCTTCCTCAATGATGAGTTTTGACACCTCAGTAAAAACCAATAAAGACATGGTTAGACAATCATTAGAATAGTTTTTGTTTTTCCAGGAGCAGTTAAATGGGCAGAGACCACTCACACCAACATCTGATTAAAAAAAACAGTTACCTTGCTCTATAAGCAGCCCTGAAAAACCACTCTTTTCATAAAAGAGCTCCTTTCATCACTTGTTTTTTGCAAATGCAAACGGATCTCCACTAGGAAGTACAAAAACAGCTAAAAAAAAAGATTTGAAGTAAATATTCATGTTATAAATATAATTTTACTATAAAATTTACTGAATTGTATGGTTTCGACAAGCCTCACATTTATGACCAAATGGTGCTCCGATTCCTAATTTCACTAAATGAATCCGCTTATTAATTCAAACCTACAGTAAACTAAAAAGTTACCAAGAATTTTAATCCAAGCGGCTCTTTTACAGTTTAAAAATATCAACATGTACATCAGGTCATTTTCTAACACTTTATATCAGGAGAAATAAATACATCATTTTAATACAATCCCCTGTTCTTCTCACAATTATACAAGACTTGAGTACATTTAAACTAAAAACACACAATAACAAATGTTATAATATAACAAGCAGCAACAATCTGAACGTCTTACAAAACTTGAGCTGACAACATTACAAGATTAAAAACAAACTAAACACTAACCACGATCGAACTTCCCACTGTGGTCAAACACTCCTACGCCTTGGTGATGTAACCCTCTTTGATTAGGAAGTCATAGATCTTGCGAGTCTTGTTGACGTCGATCTTGATCAGCGCCCGCGCCTGCGCCAGCCGCAGCCCGCCCTGCCGTCTGCACTCGTTAAGTAAAGCTTGTTTGTACTCCAGGTAGGCGCCCGGTACCAGCCGCACCACCTGACACAGCTACAACCACAAAATAAACACAGGGTTTAGAAACGGAGGGAGTAGCTTTAAAAAACAAACACACCGGTAAATACAGTGCTAAAGTCTTGAGCCAACTCTCATTTCTTTACCTTTTTCTACGAAAATACGTGAAGTGATTTATGTATTTTTCCAACTTGGGCATGCTTTTATTCCAATGGCAGTGTATTTGGTAGAGATGGACCGATCCGATATTACGTATCGGTATCGGTCTGATACTGACCTAAATTACTGGATCGGATATCGGAGAAAAATAAAAAATGTAATCCGATCCATTAAATATCACGAAAGCACCTCACAAAACTTGCAACACGCCGTAACTCACCTCAGAACGTTAGCACGTCGGAGCAGTATGCATCACGTGATAGAGCGGCTGTGGCATGCGGGACCTGTCGGTGGTCTGGATAGCATGTGGAGCTTCGCTAGCAACCCGGCATTTCATCTCCGACAAAGTTATCCCCGAGAGAAGTAAAGCAAGTGTGTAAGTCCATCTCTGAATGTTTGTAAAGCATTCCTGCGTTAAGCTTAACGAGCGACTGCCTCTCGCTGCTGCTACTTCAATCATGAAACTGCTTAATGATCAGCTGATCGGCTTTTCTGTCGCGAGTCCGTCTCTCTTGTTTGTTTTTGGCCCACTTTGCACCAGAAAGAGGAAACCAGCGGCTGAACAACAGCAGCACGTTTAAGCTTGATCAGCTGTTGTTAGAATTTATTTAATATTACTTTCTACACCAGGATCTTTTTCTACGTAGCTGACGGCTGGTAACTGTGCAGGGGCGGATCTAGCAAAGTTTAGCCAGGGGGGCCGATAGGGCATTAACAGGGAAAAGGGGGCACAAAGACATACTTTTCTTTCTTATTCTCATTTAAAATGTCTAGCTTTTAATAAATAATTATCTGAATCTTACACCCAAAGTTTTAATCTGATGTAAAATGTATAGAAGTCCATTACTGTATATAGTAACTATTAAGTCTAATATACCCTAGTAAGCTATAGTACTTTTTCCTTTGGGAAGGTACCATCTGTGCAGTCTGCAATTTTGTTGAAGAAAGATGTTGAATCTATTTAATATTTCTTGAAAAATAATTGATTTCTGTGCATTTTTTTTCACACTGCATCAAATTAAGGTTGATTACGTTGATTAAGCATCATGAGGTGGAGCGTGAGGGGTGGTTCCCTATTTTTTATTTATTTATTTTTGTTGTTGCTGGGAGTTGGAACCCTATTAGTTAGGTTGCTTAATATTTACGCTAAGTACTCTTTAAAATACCAGAATAGGGAGGATGGTGTAGGTTTAAGTTTATTAGATTGATCAGTATTGCTGAACTATGAAATTTTTTTTTTTTGCATACAGGTATAACAGAATAGCTTTAGTGTAGTTGTTGTTTTAAACTTGAGTATGAACTTATACAAAATGCAGCAAGATATTTAAAAAACAGTTTTGTTGATTAAAAAACACTATATCGGATTCATATCGGTATCGGCAGATATCCAAATTTATGATATCGGTATCGGTATCGGACATAAAAAAGTGGTATCGTGCCATCTCTAGCGGTATTGATCTCTGAGATTGTCAAGCTGGAAAAATTAAGACAATCACATGCTTTCAGATAATATTCCACGATGGATCCAAATCTGACTGTACTTTTCTGTGTTCATAATTCCATCACTTCTGATAAGATTCCCAACACCACTGTCCAAAATGGAGATCCAAACCATGACAGAGGGAAGTCATTAAGAGAGGCCAGGGCCATGTTGTTGACATAGATGTGTAAGCAGATGACTAATGAGACACGACTTAACGCATATTGACCCTTATTCCATCTGCGCGACCATATCTTTACCTCCTTCTCCCGCTCGTTGAGCTTCTCTGTTCCCGGCAGTCCGGTCAGGTTGAGAGGTGGGGCGCTCCGCCTACCTGTTGCTGTGGAGCAAAAAATTTCTACAGTCAAATGGAAATTCAGCACCACAATGTTAGCCAACCCTTCAGAGAACATAATAGCAGCCTGGCAACATGCAGTTAATTCCTTTGCATCGAAGAGACGGGCGAACAAATATTTACGCTGTGCAAATTGTGTAAATATAGCCATGTGGGAGTGTGCGTCCCATTTGTGCTCTGGAGGTTAGGGAAAGGCAGTTAATTTGAAAGGGAAACAAAAATAGCTAGGAAAATATGCAAGCAGGGGGCTATTTTTGAGCAGATAAATGGAGAAGTTGTTTGCATTAATGTGCCGGGAGCCACGGAGAGGACAGAATACATAAGGAAAGGTGGAAAGAAACGCCGTACCTGACACTGTGATTGTTGTGACAGCTGGAGTGATTCCAGCATCTCTGCAATCATTAAGAAAAGTGTTATTATCTTGGCTGCCATGTTTATATATGTACACACACACACACACACACACACACACACACACACACACCCCTGGGCTTTTGTTCACTACTCTGACTCCAGGATCATCAGCCAGAAAAGAAGAATCATAGCATTCAAGGTTTTTTTTAAAAGGTAGAATAATTGGAAGAACTTGGATAACATCCAAAGAAAAGGATGAAAACAAGAGGAGCAGCGACCCATTAAAAGGACTAAAAATACAGCAGAGACTGTGGTGTAAGCGAGATGCTCTATAATACAGCTCGATTCATCTCAGCATGAACAGTGCTGGGAGTGATGACAGAGGTCAGCGTCTCCGGAGAGCGCGGCTTCACCAGCCCTTCTATTACACGCTGGGCTACAAGCGGGGAGTTTAGAGTCTTACATTGCAGCCTGTTTGCTGAGCCACTGCTGACAGGCTCTGCCATCCTGGATGTACTGCAGCACGTCACACAGCATGGTCCTCTTCCTCCGCTCGTCTTCACGCATTCGCTTCACCCGCTCGTACACCTTGGCACCTATTGCACAGAAAGGTGAACAAAGAGCGTACAAAATTAGGGCTGCGACTCGAAACTGCTACGCTGTTTAGGCCATAAAGTATCAGAAACTGCCAAAAATGTCCTTTACAATTTCGCACAGTTCAAGCTAACACCCTCACATGTCTTACTCTGCTGGATCAACAGTCCACATACCAAAGAAAAGCCCTAGGAGCCTGTGCACTTTTAGTCTTTCCGTGGCACACATTAACAAGCTGGTCCAGGATTAAAATTCCAAAAATGATCCAAACACTGTGAGTGTTCTGCTGGTGCAGCAAAAAATAATTGATTTGAACTGAACTAAAAATAAAGTGCAAGCCTGAATATAAACACATTTTCCTGCTTATGCACACAACTTTAAAATGAAGTTTTTGTTCAGGGGAGGAGGGAAAGAAAAGGTCAAACTTGACTCACTGCAGAAAGACTTGATCCCTGCTTTCCTGTACTCCTGCAGCCTGCGGATCTCTCTCCTCAGCTCAAACTCCACTGGAAACAAAGAGAGAGAGAGATGAAGGCAGTTAAAAGCAAACCTGTGCAGACTGTTGCAGAGATCCCTGAACTCACTTTCACACAGCTGCAGCTCACATTTCATTTAGCACAATGAGTAAGCATTTTGTGCTTCTCAGAACAGTTTCATACAGCATTCATAAAAAATTAAATCAACATCTGGGAACTGGACGGCTCGAGGACTACTGAGAAAGACACAAAAGAAAACATCAATGTCTGAATTGATTACTGGACTTTTTATGACTTTCATGACATGAGTAACCCCCCCCCCAAAAAAAAAAAACAACATTTAGAAGCATCAAGCTCCATTACATATTTTTAGTATCTCATATTCAGATTAGTACATCTATGGCCGATATAACACCATCAATTAATCTACCAAGCTTCAGACTGTGGGAGGAAGCCGGAGTACACAGAAAACCTACATGCACAGTATTCAAACTCGACAGAGAAAGGCTGCAGTAGACCAGGAGATCTGAACCAGCAACCTGTTTGCTGCCCAGGACTCTAATTTTTCCAGGTTTGAACTGTTTTATTATTGTTTATCTAGGTCATTGTCTTTTTGTATCACCTAGCCTCTCCTGAACTTTGGGTTATGAACTGGTGTCCTGATTTTTTTTGATACATTAGATACAAACAGGGACAGCAAAGCCCCAACAAGCTTTATTTGTGTGCGCTGCTTTTCAGGACACTGCCAAGGAATTGTTACGGGACATCCAGCTGGCCTGTTGCAGACTGCTTTCATTCACAGACACATGAACACGGATTTCAGCAGACTGTAGAGAATCCTGCAGGCTTTGATGTTATCCTGGTGTCTTTTTCCCCCCTCCTTTTTAAGCAATGGACTTGTTCTCACTGTGAACTTTGCAGCACGTCCACCTTTAGGGACAGTCCTGAATTTTCTTCATGCATGGACACTTTGTCCTACTGTGAACCAATTAACAGTGTAGTTTTAGCTTTGTGCAGCTCTGCAATGATTTGTCTGCAGTCCTGAAAAAGTTGTTGCAATAGATGCACGGTTCACATCAACCGTAAGTCCTTGACCATAAGAGCAGGTCTTTCTAGTATCCTGAGTTTTTTTTTTTTTAAAGAAATCACTAACCTGCGCTATGACTGACTAATTAGTGTGGTTCAAAAAATAACGTTATCAGTTTAGTTCGTATATCCATCTTCCACTTATCCAACGCAGGGTCACTGGGTGCTGGAGCCTAACCTAGCTGCAGGGGGTACACCCTGGACAGCTCACCAGTTTTGTGCAGAGCTAACAGCGAGAATGTGTTGCTCAATAACTGTGAAAGCGATTTTGATTATACTACATGTTACGAGTAATCAATCGATTAAGAAATCCTGGTTGTTCCAAAGATTAGTTACGATTTTTCTTGTAGCAGGATTAGCGTTCAACTTGAAGGTTAAGAAGACTGAAACCAACCTAATACATGCCTGTTTAATCTAACTGTGTGCTGGCTGTCGAACTGCAGCCAGAGCAGACTTAGCTTAGTTTAGCATAAAGATGGTAAACAAGTGGAAACAGCTAGCCAGGCTCCGTCCAACAGTTATGTAAAGAAAAAGAAAAAAATCCAGTCAGCACTTCCAAAGCTGACTAATTACCTTAATATATGTGAAGTGTAAAAATAAAAATCTGCTGTTTAAAGAGATGTAGGTGCTTGACTATTTCTGTGCAATGAACTGCAACTTCCTGGAGTCCCTGCTGGTTGCCAGGAAACTGCAACTGTCTGTGAGATGCCAATTTAAGAGATATCCAAATGACAGCAGAGGTTCAAAAACTTGATAAGCCTGTGTCAAGAAGCATTGCTGACTAATGAAGACATTTCGTGTTAGAATTTTCTTTAATTTGTACACAGACATAGTGGAAACGTGGGAATCTCTCAGAGAAAAACAGGAAGGAGTCTGGCATTACCTTCCCACAAAGATTAAAAATAACCTCCCTTGACGCTGCGATCGTCTGTGCGATGCTGAGACAGTGTGGCAAAAACTGGTCAAATCGATTCTCTGTGTTTGTGACTGTTGCTTAAATTGCACGTAACCCTGCCATGTGAACTCAGCCAGATACTAACATGCGTGACTTTCGATGAATTTGTCATGTTCAATTGGTCCAACCACTCTGGCAAATCTTCTCATGACATCATACAGCTCCTGCACCTCCTTTGGGTAGCATCGCTCCAGCACTACCGGAGACAGAGAGACGAGAAAGAGAGAGAGATGTGAGTAGGCAGGCAGATACAAACAAATATAAAACAGAAATATGAAAGAAAAATATCCCCAGCAGACACTTTTAGACGTGAGCAGTTTTTTTTTTTTACTGCATTCTAGGTGAAGTAATTTGGTTTCTTTTTTGCAGTTAACCACCAGAGAACAGCCGTCAACTTGCAGCTCTGCATCAATGCTGTGCATATAGGCATGTAAATATTACCAACATTTATCACAGTCACCCTGTAGATGCACCGCTATGATTCTCTGAAGCTGGTGCAAGGGGAGAATTTGCATCCTGTAGCTACTAAATGGCCTGTATGGTCTCTCAGCATCCACGCAAACAGTGCTTAACAGATTTATCTAACCACAACCCAATGTAAGGCTTATGGCATAGCTGCCCTGAAGTAACAATACTGTTAGTTACCATCATTTATTCATGTTCTTGTAGGGGTTAACTGTACAGTAACCGTTCTTGTTCTGACAGGTGAACACACCTGTCAGCAAAAGGATTTCACACACATTTCTTTATTACACCTTCTTGCAACTGTTTCTTAATTTCTTACAATTTACACTACTCTCTTGCACATCTCTCAGTCTCACCGTTTACTTTTTGTTAACTTAGCTTAGCTGTTAGCTTAGCTTGTTGTTTTTCTTTAACCACTGTTGTATGTATGAAATGTTTGCACTCTCTCACAGTATAAGGCTCTCTCTGTGCACCCGTGGCACTTTTATTATGTTGTTTATTTTCTGTAGACTGTACCACTTTTAATCTTGATCCTGTTGCTGTAACACAATATTTCCCTTGCGGGACGGAGTGACTAACTGTAAGCAAGAAGTAGCAGCTCTTTGATCTAAATTAGATTTTTAATGCTAAAACCTTGTTATCCAATAATTTTCAGATTTGCTTTAAAAAACAAAACAAAAAAACCCCCAAAAAACAAAACAAAAAGCAAAACACGTCACATGTTGTTTTTTGATTAGGTTCCAGTTATTTAGTTGCACAAAAAACACAACAATTTTATCCACCTTTTCTAAACTCACAGTCCACAACACCTCATCCCAGCTATCACAAGAGCCAGGGTTACTCTGGTCAGTTTGCCGTTCCTTCACAAGGCTACGACAGAGACAGACAACCATTCATCCTCACATTCACACCTACAGCCATGTATCCTAACATGCATGTCTCTGGCCTGTAGAAGGAAATTGGCTTACTGGGGGAAAAAAACAAGGTCCACAGCCAGCAGGTGGATTTAAACAGAGAACCTTTTATCTAAGAGGTGACACTGGATCATTTTACTGCCCCTAAAATCCTTCTCCTATCATAACTTAGTGAATGAACGGACATAATCATAACTTAAAGACTTAATAGCATCATATCATCTCAACAGAGTTCTTTGCTCTGAGCTTCCAGGCTTACACGTGGTTCACAGAATCTCTAAAAGCAGAATGGGTCTGACGAACTCTGAGTTATGGAAACAAATGCCATCTCTACTTTCAAGATTCGATTTTAAACTTTCCTTTTTGATAAAGCCTATAGTCTGCAGGGGGTCTGCTAACCTGAACCACTGCTTAGGTGTGTTGGTACAAACAGACCTCAGCAAAAGTGCTTGGGGACTTCCTTTGATGCACTCTTGCATTTTGTCTCCTTCAGTTTGTTTTGTCCCATTTGTTTTCATCCTTCTCCCCAAAAGGTTGTGACAGATGGCTGTCTCTCTCTGTTAAAACTGACCTTTTCTTTCTCCCCATATGTGACTGTCATATCCTGGGGATCGACAAACACTGAACTGAAAATATATAATTCCATAATATAAAGCACCGTGAGACAACAGTTGTCCTGAACTAGCAATATATAGAAAAAATTCAAGTGGAAAAAATCCAT